CTGTTTGTTCAAGTTCGTCGAACTTAGTCTGCAATTGCTCTAGTTGACCGCGAGCATACTGGGGCATACGACCTTTTCGCTGGGGGGGTTGAACTGGACCCATGTTGACGACACCTTCGATGGGACCGGCGGCGCCGTTGTACCCGGGTATAACAGGATCGAATACACGATCAAACTCCTTCAAGAGAGAGAGAGTGTCGCGCTTCTCGTCAGGTGAGAAAATGCCGTCGGGATCTACGGAAACTTGCTCTGAATGATATCCAGGAGTGTGGAGTGGTAGGGGTGGGGGTCCAAGGTCTGGTGAGCTGGGCACTTGCGTTTGTGGAGGGGAGCTGCTTGTAACGAGGCGAGCCTGGCATATGTGGTCGTTCTTTTTAATAAAGATCGGCTCGGTGGAACAATTGACAAGTCTAAGCTTTCTGCCGACAGACTCAAGAATACCGGGTTGGGGCCATGCATGGGAGGACTTAATTGATTGACACGAAGTAGAATCGACCCGGGGCTCAACAGCAAGTTGGGTATCGGGTGGAAAGTCAATAGGGATATCAACCTCGAGGAAACCACCAGGCCAAATAGTGGTGTTCGTAGGAGGTGCACGCAATACATGACAATATCTGACAACATGGTATTTGAAGAAACTATTGGGGGACCCATAGGGTACAATGTCAGAACCAGCGATGATAATTTCATGCTTTGCGGGTCGGACAGCAATGTCGTTGCAGGTCATGAAAGGTGTTCCGGCGAGGATATCAACATCAAGGTCTTCTACAACAAGAGCCTCGAGGGTAAGGGTCTTGCCATTACGGGACAATGACAGGCGGGTTTCGCCGACAATAGAGAGCGGAGTACGACCATCAGCTTGTAACGCAAGTTGTGAACTCTTGGATATTGGGCAACCGATGTAATGGGCAAGGGAGGCCTTTATCATGTTGGTCTCTGCACCAGTATCAATAGTAAGGCGAAGCGGGTGTTGATTGTAGAAGACGTGGAGATACGGAGATTGTGTAATATTTACACGGCAGGTAGCTGAGCGATGGTTGATGGGATGATCGCAGTCACAATTACTCTGAGGAGGGTGGATAATTGTCATCGGGATGATTATCTTCATACTCTTGGGTATCTTCGATATCTGTAACATGGCGTGCTCGGGCCATAAACTGACGATCTGAGTCAGGCAGGTATTGGCAGGTACTTAAAAAGTGGGAGCGATAGTCGGGGCGGCCAGCTTGGAGGCATAGTGCACAGGATTTATTTGAACGAGGCTTGTATGTCGTTTTGCTCTTTGGGGGGTATGGGCGGTTGGGGCCAGGTGGGCGGTTGTCGATGCGGGGTGGTCTTCCAAAGCTTGGGTGGATTGTGCGCAGAACTTTGGCTTCTTCGCTGGTGCGTAGTTCCTCTAACAAAGAGTCGAGGGCTTGAGATATCTCAGGCTTTATAGAGGCCAGTGTTCGGCAACGGAGCTCTGTACCGTACCTTTGCTTAACTAAACGTGGAAGGTCTGGGTGGAGGAGTTGGAGCCAGGTAACTACAATAAAGTTTTCGAGGGAGGGGGATAGCTCTTCATCAGCTTCTGGGGTTATTCCGTGATGAGTTATTCCGCCTGCTGCTGTTAATAAATTATCTTCAACAAAGGACATCAAGCATTGGTAAAGGTCTTCAGGCCTCTGGTCTAATTTGGCCTTGATATTAGCTAGATCTAAGAAGCGGGAACCAGTAGATTGCAGGCCGTAATGTTGTCGAATGGCTTGCCATACACCGCTGATGGAGGTCGAATTTCGTACAATCGTATTACGAGAAATAACAGGAGCATAGTTAGCTATTTGGCCAAGCATCATTTCGAGATGAGTCACCTTTTGCGCAGCGGTACGGCGTTGAATCTGGGGAATGTCCTCATCATCGTCGGTAAAACCACGGAGAGGAGAGGCATTGGTTTTCTTTAGCCAAGTAGCACCAGCGGTGAGAAACGATGCAAAATTATGGTCTAGGGATAGGATGTATTTTAAATTGTTCTCCCAAGCCTCTATGGAAGTTATTGTTTCAGTCGTTGTGAGAGACCATTGTTTTGGTGCTCGAACGGCCGCCATTTTGTTTGTCGAAAGCTTGACTGGTAAATCTATACGATGAGTTTTTCCTCTTATTTATGCTTTGATGTACACTTTTTCGTACGTTACGGGTTCTTTATAATCCGTGAAGCTGCCACCACGCCAATGTTTAGGAGGGCACTCGACAGCGAAGCTAAAACGACGACTTTAAATGGTAGTCTTTAATACTATGTTATGAATAAAACAACAACGAGGCCAAGACAAACCACAAGAGTCTACTAACATGAAGTAAAGGTCGCCTAGGCGCGAACAACATCGCAGGCGCATGTGATCTTTACTAACAACAATAACAACTAAAAGCCACACTATGGCGAAGGGTGGAAGTGACACCGCCCTTTCCATGAGGCTCCGAAATTCCCAACCACTGAGTGCTCCTTCCTTCCCATGCATCGACAATTATGTTTGCAAATTCTGCTCTAGAAAGATGTGAAATGTCACATTGACTATAAGCGATTATAAACAAACGTTCTTTCCTTCGGAGTACCCGAATTAGCAGTTGACTCAGCCGTTACCCGCATGCGAAAGTAACTGGATGTTATATTCCTATGCTATAAATTAAAAGTAAGTGTGACATATCTAGCGTAAAACATTCAACCTATATCTTTATCGACGGACTATAACCTCTCAAATAACCTGCGTGTGCTCTGCCGAAATTTGTAAAAACAAACAACGATTAATTAAGAATGCTATATGACATAAAAAATTATATTTATATTCTGTTAATTATTAACTTTGAGAATTTTAATGAAACTTAATTGTTTTAAAATGTTATATTAGATCTTCTGTGAACGAAATGGAGCTGAAATACTTCGTTCGCAGAGAGCATTCTATCCCCTGTACTTTTGAGATGTACAACGATGTTATGACATGTGGGGCCCAGACAATCACTTTCAGAAGTTAGATTGTAAGTGGATCATTACAGTTTTTCACACACAGTACCGCTCCCCTCCCCCACCCCAATCAATGTTGCTTCAGCCAAAACACAGTCAAACCTGGCGAGAAATGGGACACAACATTGAAGAGGGGGCAGGAGGATTGGCGTTTGTTGAAATTCAAAGGTTTTGTGGCATCTGTCCCAAGACGTTTGAAACTAATTGTAGAAAGATTTCTATTTTTTGCAGAAATATTCTCACAGGATGAGAACCAACGATATGTTCCTACACTACTTATTTTGCCTTATTGACCTTACTGGCCTTCAATAATAATATCATGGAATCCCACAGACCCCACAGAAGCAATATTTGCAAATACCGAAGTAGTTTTATGGGGTTTTTTTAATAATATCCACAGAGGTTAATAACGGGGCTTATATACATGCAGGGTGTCCCAAAAAACCAAAAGTATTGAAATAACGTATTGTTAGAATTTGGAGATTATCTAAAGTGCGAGTTGCGAGTTACGAGTATATTGTTAATTTCTAATAACATCGGGTTTAATTTTAACCCAGGGTTAACACTAACCTAGCTTTGAAGCACCGAACCAGGTGTTTGCACCTGTGGTTTACACTAAAAATTCAAATTGAAAACTGTATGGCATCCTGGCGGATGGGATTTTAGCTTTGTCTCAATTTGGCGCCAATTTTCAGCTTTTGAAATAAACATTCATTGCATTTATTTTTATGCTTACAAACTTGTAAATAGCAATCGTTTTGATATACTGGTGGTTTTTTCCCGTGTTTAGATAAAGTTTATGTATGTATATGTATAAAATAAATTGTACTTCCGATGAAAAGGACTTCAGTTTTATAGGGTTCCCAGCGTTCAGTATATATAAACAAACTGAGTCGGTGTCTGGTCATACTTACTAATAAAATTAAATAACCATTTTAAGATTAGAAAGCACAAAATGGTCTGGATAACTACTAGATTTAATTAAACACAGAAACGGCAAATATAAACTTGCACTTTTATTTTCAATATAATTATTTTAATTCTTGAACATACGTATCGATGGATCTAACAAAGTAAACAAACAAGTAAAGGCCGATTTTCATCTCGTCCGTATCGTAGCATTTTCTTTTGTGTCGAAGTCGTTATTTCCACTCTAGTGGTCAGGAAACAAAGAAATACGCTTCGCTACGATACGGTTGAAGTGGAAAACCGGCTTAAAGTGCACTGAAAACGTGTTGAAATTAACGAATTTAGTTACAGGAACCTTAACTTCGAAGGTCATTAATATTTATGAAACAAAAAACCCTTCGACTTTGCCTTCCATGTCGTCCATATTAATATACTTTCAAAGCCTAATTCAAAGCGAGGCTAACGACTCGCAACTCGCAGCTCGCAAAATAGCCGACCCCTAGAATTTGAATGCCCGAGCAGTCTGCCGACCGCAAAGTGCGTAAACTGATATCGACAGGGGTTTGTAGTAATTTGACAGCCGTATAATTTTTCGAATTAATGAATACGTGAAAACACAAGGTTTTCTGCATGTGGGAATTTAGGATGACTTTTATTTGTTTGATCAAATACACAACCAAAGAAAAATGTTTAAATTAAGGGACCGGTCATTAATAATGGGGGCAGTGGGTGATAACTGCCAAATATTGAACATTTTTTGGAGCCAATCCCAAGACCTTCAATTTCAAGACGCCCCCACCTTCATCTAGAAAACTTAGGACCATTTCCCCCTCCAACATTTAATTTGTTACATTTTTTGGTGTAAAATAAGTAATGGACAAGTACTGTGGACCAGTATTCCAAATGGTTGTTATTTACTCCGACTCCTATATGGTGAACTGCATATACATAATAAACTATAGAAACTAAAATTATAGCAACTAAAAAAGGTTTAAATATTTTGAAAATGAGTAGGAAAGTATTAAAAAAAATTGGGGTCATCCCTTGCTAGTACAACGCAAAACAGAGAATATTGAAGAATTGTAACATGTTAGCTGTTTACATCGTTGCCATCATGGTATAGTGGTAAAGACTGAGGCCATCATGAGCGAAAGTTGTGGACCGTTCCCAGGTAAAACTCTCGTATCTTTTCGTATAATTTTTTCGTTATTTCTTTTTGCCATTATTTTTCCAAAACGTCTCTAAATCGCCCCTCCTAATAGCTGAATGCTCATATTTTGATAATATTTTGTAGATTTGGACAATTTTGAGTCGACTTAACCAACGATGACGAGGGCATTAACAACGATGTAGAGCGATGAAGAGAATCGTATGTTGGGTGAAATCCAAAAAATCTGCATATACATGCAGCTAGTTCAACGCAAAATAGAATATTGAAGTTTTGTAATTTGTTAGCCTACCGGTTTCCATCATTGCCATCATGATATAATGGTAAAGACTGAGCCCATCATGAGCGAAAGTTGTGGACCGTACCCAGGTAAAACTCTCGTAACTAATTTCGTATAATTTTTTCTTTATTTCTTTTTGCCATTATTTTTCCAAAAAGTCTCTAAATTGCCCCTCCTAACAGCTGAATACTCATATTTTGATAATTTTTTGTATATTGGGACAATTTTGAGTCGAATTAACCAAGGATGACGAGATATGAACAAGGATGTAGAGCGCTGAAGAGAATTCTTCTGTAGGGTGAAATCGAAAAAATCTACATACAGCAATTCCAAGCAAAACAGAGAATATTGAAGAATTGTAATATGTTAGCTGTTTACATCGTTGCCATCATGGTATAGTGGTAAAGACTGAGGCCATCATGAGCGAAAGATGTGGACCGTTCCCAGGCAAAACTCTCGTAACTTTTGGTATAATTTTTCCTTTATTTCTTTTTGCCATTATTTTCCCAAAAAGTCTCTAAATCGCCCCTCCTAACAGCTGAATGCTCATATTTTGATAATATTTTGTAGATTTGGACAATTTTGAGTCGACTTAACCAACGATGACGAGGGCATTAACAACGATGTAGAGCGATGAAGAGAATCGTATGTTGGGTGAAATCCAAAAAATCTGCATATACATGCAGCTAGTTCAACGCAAAATAGAATATTGAAGTTTTGTAATTTGTTAGCCTACCGGTTTCCATCATTGACATCATGGTATAGTGGTAAAGACCAAGGCCATCATGAGCGAAAGTTGTGGACCATTCCCAGGTAAAACTCTCGTAACATTTCGTATAATTTTTTCTTTATTTCTTTTTGCCATTATTTTTCCAAAAAGTCTCTAAATCGCCCCTCCTAACAGCTGAATACTCATATTTTGATAATTTTTTGTATATTAGGACAATTTTGAGTCCATTTAACCAAGGATGACGAGAGATGAACAAGGATGAACAACTCGGAAGAGAATTCTTGTCCAGGGTGAAATGCAAAAAATCTACATACATCAAGTAGAGCTGAAAACAGAGAATATTGAACTGTTGAAATGTGTTAGCTGTTTCCATCGATGCCATCATGGTATAATGGTAAAGACTGAGGCCATTATGAGCGAAAGTTGTGGACCGTTCCCAGGTAAAACTCTCGTAACTTTTCGTATAATTTTTCTTTAGTTCTTTTTGCCATTATTTTTCCAAAAAAGTCTCTAAATCGCACCTCCTAAGAGCTGAATATTCATTTTTGGATATTGTTTTGTATATTAGGATAATTTTGAGGCGATTTAACCAAGGATGACGAGAGATGAACAAGGATGAACAACTCTGAAGAGAATCCTTGTCCAGGGTGAAATGCAAAAAATCTACATACATCAAGTAGAACTGAAAACAGAGGATATTGAACTATTGCAATGTGTTAGCTGTTTCCATCGTTGCCATCATGGTATAGTGGTAAAGACTGAGGCCATCATGAGCGAGAGTTGTGGACTGTTTCCAGGTAAAACTCTCGTAACTTTTCGTATAATTTTTCTTTATTTCTTTTTGCCATTATTTTTCCAAAACGTTTCTAAGTCGCACTTCCTAAGAGCTGAATATTCATTTTTAGATATTTTTTTGTATATTAGGACAATTTTGAGTCCATTTAACCAAGGATGACGACAGATGAACAAGGATGAACAACTCTGAAGAGAATTCTTGTCCAGGGTGAAATGCAAAAAATCTACATACATCAAGCAGAACTGACAACAGAGAATATTGAACCATTGCAATGTGTTAGCTGTTTCCATCGTTGCCATCATGGTATAGTGGTAAAGACTGAGGCCATCATGAGCGAAAGTTGTGGACCGTTTCCAGGTAAAACTCTCCTAACTTTTCGTATAATTTTTTCTTTATTTCTTTTTGCCATTACTTTTCCAAAAAGTCTCTAAATTGCCCCTCCTAATAGCTGAATACTCATATTTTGATAACTTTTGTATATTAGGACAATTTTGAGTCGATTTAACCAAGGATGAAGAGGGATGAACAAGGATATAGAGCGCTTAAGAGAATTCTTCTGTAGGGTGAAATCGAAAAAATCTACATACTGCTAGTACAACGCAAAACAGAGAATATTGAAGAATTGTAATATGTTAACTGTTTACATCGTTGCCATCATGGTATCGTGGTAAAGACTGAGGCCGTCATGAGCGAAAGATGTGGACCGTTCCCAGGTAAAACTCTCGTAACTTTTGGTATAATTTTTTCTTTATTTCTTTTTGCCATTATTTTTCCAAAATGTCTCTAAATCGCATCTCCTAACAGCTGAATACTCATATTTTGATAATATTTTGTAGATTTGGACAATTTTGAGTCGACTTAACCAACGATGACGAGGGCATTAACAACGATGTAGAGCGATGAAGAGAATCGTATGTTGGGTGAAATCCAAAAAATCTGCATATACATGCAGCTAGTTCAACGCAAAATAGAATATTGAAGTTTTGTAATTTGTTAGCCTACCGGTTTCCATCATTGACATCATGGTATAGTGGTAAAGACCAAGGCCATCATGAGCGAAAGTTGTGGACCATTCCCAGGTAAAACTCTCGTAACATTTCGTGAAATATTTTCTTTATTTTTTTTTGCCATTATTTATCCAAAAAGTCTTTAAATCGCCCCTCCTAGCAGCTGAATACTCATATTTTGATAATTTTTTGTATATTAGGACAATTTTGAGTCTATTTAACCAAGGATGAGGAGGGATGAACAAGGATGTAGAGCGCTGAAGAGAATACTTCTGTAGGGTGAAATCGAAAAAATCTGCATACAGCTAGTACAACGCAAAACAGAGAATATTGAAGAATTGTAATATGTTAGCTGTTTACATCATTGCCATCATGGTATAATGGTAAAGACTGAGCCCATCATGAGCGAAAGTTGTGGACCGTACCCAGGTAAAACTCTCGTAACTAATTTCGTATAATTTTTTCTTTATTTCTTTTTGCCATTATTTTTCCAAAAAGTCTCTAAATTGCCCCTCCTAACAGCTGAATACTCATATTTTGATAATTTTTTGTATATTGGGACAATTTTGAGTCGAATTAACCAAGGATGACGAGATATGAACAAGGATGTTGAGCGCTGAAGAGAATTCTTCTGTAGGGTGAAATCGAAAAAATCTACATACAGCAATTCCAAGCAAAACAGAGAATATTGAAGAATTGTAATATGTTAGTTGTTTACATCGTTGCCATCATGGTATAGTGGTAAAGACTGAGGCCATCATGAGCGAAAGATGTGGACCGTTCCCAGGCAAAACTCTCGTAACTTTTGGTATAATTTTTCCTTTATTTCTTTTTGCCATTATTTTCCCAAAAAGTCTCTAAATTGCCCCTCCTAACAGCTGAATGCTCATATTTTTGTAATATTTTGTAGATTTGGACAATTTTGAGTCGACTTAACCAACGATGACGAGGGCATTAACAACGATGTAGAGCGATGAAGAGAATCGTATGTTGGGTGAAATCCAAAAAATCTGCATATACATGCAGCTAGTTCAACGCAAAATAGAATATTGAAGTTTTGTAATTTGTTAGCCTACCGGTTTCCATCATTGACATCATGGTATAGTGGTAAAGACCAAGGCCATCATGAGCGAAAGTTGTGGACCATTCCCAGGTAAAACTCTCGTAACATTTCGTATAATTTTTTCTTTATTTCTTTTTGCCATTATTTTTCCAAAAAGTCTCTAAATCGCCCTTCCTAACAGCTGAATACTCATATTTTGATAATTTTTTGTATATTAGGACAATTTTGAGTCCATTTAACCAAGGATGGCGAGAGATGAACAAGGATGAACAACTCGGAAGAGAATTCTTGTCCAGGGTGAAATGCAAAAAATCTACATACATCAAGTAGAGCTGAAAACAGAGAATATTGAACTGTTGAAATGTGTGAGCTGTTTCCATCGTTGCCATCATGGTATAATGGAAAAGACTGAGGCCATTATGAGCGAAAGTTGCGGACCGTTTCCACGTAAAACTCTTGTAACTTTGCGTATAATTTTTCTTTAGTTCTTTTTGCCATTATTTTTCCAAAAAAGTCTCTAAATCGCACCTCCTAAGAGCTGAATATTCATTTTTGGATATTGTTTTGTATATTAGGACAATTTTGAGGCGATTTAACCAAGGATGACGAGAGATGAACAAGGATGAACAACTCTGAAGAGAATCCTTGTCCAGGGTGAAATGCAAAAAATCTACATACATCAAGTAGAACTGAAAACAGAGAATATTGAACTATTGCAATGTGTTAGCTGTTTACATCGTTGCCATCATGGTATAGTGGTAAAGACTGAGGCCATCATCAGCGAGAGTTGTGGACTGTTTCCAGGTAAAACTCTCGTAACTTTTCGTATAATTTTTCTTTATTTCTTTTTGCCATTATTTTTCCAAAAAAATTTTCTAAGTCGCACTTCCTAAGAGCTGAATCTTCATTTTTAGATATTTTTTGTATATTAGGACAATTTTGAGTCCATTTAACCAAGGATGACGACAGATGAGCAAGGATGAACAACTCTGAAGAGAATTTTTGTCCAGGGTGAAATGCAAAAAATCTACATACATCAAGCAGAACTGAAAACAGAGAATATTGAACTATTGCAATGTGTTAGGTGTTTCCATCGTTGCCATCATGGTATAGTGGTAAAGACTGAGGCCATCATGAGCGAAAGTTGTGGACCATTCCCAGGTAAAACTCTCGTAACATTTCGTGAAGTATTTTCTTTATTTCTTTTTGCCATTATTTTTCCAAAAAGTCTTTAAATCGCCCCTCCTAGCAGCTGAATACTCATATTTTGATAATTTTTTGTATATTAGGACAATTTTGAGTCTATTTAACCAAGGATGAGGAGGGATGAACAAGGATGTAAAGCGCTGAAGAGAATACTTCTGTAGGGTGAAATCGAAAAAATCTGCATACACCTAGTACAACGCAAAACAGAGAATATTGAAGAATTGTAATATGTTAGATGTTTACATCATCGCCATCATGGTATAATGGTAAAGACTGAGCCCATCATGAGCGAAAGTTGTGGACCGTACCCAGGTAAAACTCTCGTAACTAATTTCGTATAATTTTTTCTTTATTTCTTTTTGCCATTATTTTTCCAAAAAGTCTCTAAATTGCCCCTCCTAACAGCTGAATACTCATATTTTGATAATTTTTTGTATATTGGGACAATTTTGAGTCGAATTAACCAAGGATGACGAGATATGAACAAGGATGTTGAGCGCTGAAGAGAATTCTTCTGTAGGGTGAAATCGAAAAAATCTACATACAGCAATTCCAAGCAAAACAGAGAATATTGAAGAATTGTAATATGTTAGCTGTTTACATCATTGCCATCATGGTATAGTGGTAAAGACTGAGGCCGTCATGAGCGAAAGATGTGGACCGTTCCCAGGTAAAACTCTCGTAACTTTTGGTATAATTTTTCCTTTATTTCTTTTTGCCATTATTTTCCCAAAAAGTCTCTAAATCGCCCCTCCTAACAGCTGAATGCTCATATTTTGATAATATTTTGTAGATTTGGACAATTTTGAGTCGACTTAACCAACGATGACGCGGGCATTAACAACGATGTAGAGCGATGAAGAGAATCGTATGTTGGGTGAAATCCAAAAAATCTGCATATACATGCAGCTAGTTCAACGCAAAATAGAATATTGAAGTTTTGTAATTTGTTAGCTTACCGGTTTCCATCATTGACATCATGGTATAGTGGTAAAGACCAAGGCCATCATGAGCGAAAGTTGTGGACCATTCCCAGGTAAAACTCTCGTAACATTTCGTATAATTTTTTCTTTATTTCTTTTTGCCATTATTTTTCCAAAAAGTCTCTAAATCGCCCCTCCTAACAGCTGAATACTCATATTTTGATAATTGTTTGTATATTAGGAATTTTTTGAGTCCATTTAACCAAGGATGACGAGAGATGAACAAGGATGAACAACTCGGAAGAGAATTCTTGTCCAGGGTGAAATGCAAAAAATCTACATACATCAAGTAGAGCTGAAAACAGAGAATATTGAACTGTTGAAATGTGTTAGCTGTTTCCATCGTTGCCATCATGGTATAATGGTAAAGACTGAGGCCATTATGAGCGAAAGTTGTGGACCGTTTCCAGGTAAAACTCTCGTAACTTTTCGTATAATTTTTCTTTAGTTCTTTTTGCCATTATTTTTCCAAAAAAGTCTCTAAATCGCACCTCCTAAGAGCTGAATATTCATTTTTGGATATTGTTTTCTATATTAGCACAATTTTGAGGCGATTTAACCAAGGATGACGAGAGATGAACAAGGATGAACAACTCTGAAGAGAATCCTTGTCCAGGGTGAAATGCAAAAAATCTACATACATCAAGTAGAACTGAAAACAGAGAATATTGAACTATTGCAATGTGTGAGCTGTTTCCATCGTTGCCATCATGGTATAGTGGTAAAGACTGAGGCCATCATGAGCGAGAGTTGTGGACTGTTTCCAAGTAAAACTCTCGTAACTTTTCGTATAATTTTTCTTTATTCCTTTTTGCCATTATTTTTCCAAAAAAGTCTCTAAATCGCACCTCCTAAGAGCTGAATATTCATTTTTAGATATTGTTTTGTATATTAGGACAATTTTGAGTCGATTTAACCAAGGATGACGAGAGATGAACAAGGACGAACAACTCTGAAGAGAATTCTTGTTCAGGGTGAAATGCAAAAAATCTACATACATCAAGCAGAACTGACAACAGAGAATATTGAACCATTGCAATGTGTTAGCTGTTTCCATCGTTGCCATCATGGTATAGTGGTAAAGACTGAGGCCATCATGAGCGAAAGTTGTGGACCGTTTCATGGTAAAACTCTCGTAACTTTTCGTATAATTTTTTCTTTATTTCTTTTTGCCATTACTTTTCCAAAAAGTCTCTAAATTGCCCCTCCTAATAGCTGAATACTCATATTTTGATAACTTTTGTATATTAGGACAATTTTGAGTCGATTTAACCAAGGATGAAGAGGGATAAACAAGGATATAGAGCGCTTAAGAGAATTCTTCTGTAGGGTGAAATCGAAAAAATCTACATACTACTAGTACAACGCAAAACAGCGAATATTGAAGAATTGTAATATGTTAGCTGTTTACATCGTTGCCATCATGGTATAGTGGTAAAGACTGAGGCCGTCATGAGCGAAAGATGTGGACCGTTCCCAGGTAAAACTCTCGTAACTTTTGGTATAATTTTTCCTTTATTTCTTTTTGCCATTATTTTTCCAAAAAGTCTCTAAATTGCCCCTCCTAACAGCTGAATGCTCATATTTTTGTAATATTTTGTAGATTTGGACAATTTTGAGTCGACTTAACCAACGATGACGAGGGCATTAACAACGATGTAGAGCGATGAAGAGAATCGTATGTTGGGTGAAATCCAAAAAATCTGCATATACATGCGGCTAGTTCAACGCAAAATAGAATATTGAAGTTTTGTAATTTGTTAGCCTACCGGTTTCCATCATTGACATCATGGTATAGTGGTAAAGACCAAGGCCATCATGAGCGAAAGTTGTGGACCATTCCCAGGTAAAATTCTCGTAACATTTCGTATAATTTTTTCTTTATTTCTTTTTGCCATTATTTTTCCAAAAAGTCTCTAAATCGCCCCTCCTAACAGCTGAATACTCATATTTTGATAATTTTTTGTATATTAGGACAATTTTGAGTCCATTTAACCAAGGATGACGAGAGATGAACAAGGATGAACAACTCGGAAGAGAATTCTTGTCCAGGGTGAAATGCAAAAAATCTACATACATCAAGTAGAGCTGAAAACAGAGAATATTGAACTGTTGAAATGTGTTAGCTGTTTCCATCGTTGCCATCATGGTATAATGGTAAAGACTGAGGCCATTATGTGCGAAAGTTGTGGACCGTTTCCAGGTAAAACCCTCGTAACTTTTCGTATAATTTTTCTTTAGTTCTTTTTGCCATTATTTTTCCAAAAAAGTCTCTAAATCGCACCTCCTAAGAGCTGAATATTCATTTTTGGATATTGTTTTCTATATTAGGACAATTTTGAGGCGATTTAACCAAGGATGACGAGAGATGAACAAGGATGAACAACTCTGAAGAGAATCCTTGTCCAGGGTGAAATGCAAAAAATCTACATACATCAAGTAGAACTGAAAACAGAGAATATTTGAACTATTGCAATGTGTTAGCTGTTTCCATCGTTGCCATCATGGTATAGTGGTAAAGACTGAGGCCATCATGAGCGAGAGTTGTGGACTGTTTCCAAGTAAAACTCTCCTAACTTTTCGTATAATTTTTCTTTATTCCTTTTTGCCATGATTTTTCCAAAAAAGTTTCTAAATCGCACCTCCTAAGAGCTGAATATTCATTTTTAGATATTGTTTTGTATATTAGGACAATTTTGAGTCGATTTAACCAAGGATGACGAGAGATGAACAAGGACGAACAACTCTGAAGAGAATTCTTGTTCAGGGTGAAATGCAAAAAATCTACATATATCAAGCAGAACTGACAACAGAGAATATTGAACAATTGCAATGTGTTAGCTGTTTCCATCGTTGCCATCATGGTATAGTGGCAAAGACTGAGGCCATCATGAGCGAAAGTTGTGGACCGTTTCCAGGTAAACTCTCGTAACTTTTCGTATAATTTTTTCTTTATTTCTTTTTGCCATTATTTTTCCAAAAAGTCTCTAAATTGCCCCTCCTAACAGCTGAATGCTCATATTTTTGTAATATTTTGTAGATTTGGACAATTTTGAGTCGACTTAACCAACGATGACGAGGGCATTAACAACGATGTAGAGCGATGAAGAGAATCGTATGTTGGGTGAAATCCAAAAAATCTGCATACACATGCGGCTAGTTCAACGCAAAATAGAATATTGAAGTTTTGTAATTTGTTAGCCTACCGGTTTCCATCATTGGCATCATGGTATAGTGGTAAAGACCAAGGCCATCATGAGCGAAAGTTGTGGACCATTCCCAGGTAAAACTCTCGTAACATTTCGTATAATTTTTTCTTTATTTCTTTTTGCCATTATTTTTCCAAAAAGTCTCTAAATCGCCCCTCCTAACAGCTGAATACTCATATTTTGATAATTTTTTGTATATTAGGACAATTTTGAGTCGATTTAACCAAGGATGAAGAGGGATGAACAAGGATATAGAGCGCTTAAGAGAATTCTTCTGTAGGGTGAAATCGAAAAAATCTACATACTGCTAGTACAACGCAAAACAGAGAATATTGAAGAATTGTAATATGTTAACTGTTTACATCGTTGCCATCATGGTATAGTGGTAAAGACTGAGGCCGTCATGAGCGAAAGATGTGGACCGTTCCCAGGTAAAACTCTCGTAACATTTCGTGAAATATTTTCTTTATTTCTTTTTGCCATTATTTATCCAAAAAGTCTTTAAATCGCCCCTCCTAGCAGCTGAATACTCATATTTTGATAATTTTTTGTATATTAGGACAATTTTGAGTCTATTTAACCAAGGATGAGGAGGGATGAACAAGGATGTAGAGCGCTGAAGAGAATACTTCTGTAGGGTGAAATCGA